AGGTGGAAGATGAGCAAAAAGTCAGAAACCTACAAGATTAAAAGATTGTTGCTAAATGTGATGATGATAATAATAATAGCTGTTAAACATCATATGTGTAGGAGAATAAATGCAATGTTTAGCAAATAGTTCAAGACTAGGAGGCTTAGAATGCATGATTTCTTCTTGGTTGTATAGTTAAATGTATAAGAAACATGTATGGGGATGGCAGAGATTTGTTGGTTGGAATTTTAACGTGTGTATTTTTGTATGCAGATTACATCTTGTCGGCTGAAAAACCAAATTATTTGCAGCAACATGCCAGTTAATGTAACATGCTACTTGAACTGAAAATGAATGCATCAGAAACCAAGCCAAGTGTGTCTGAAAATGAATATATTTTAAAAAATCAAGATAGCTATACTTTGAGTGAAGTGTCTAACTTCAAGTTGCACATAAAAAATGAAGAACAGAGAAGGCAGATAAAAGTTCCACTCTGATCAAGAGGTGGGTCCGAATTTTATTTATGTGTAAATAAAATTAAATAAGTATGGTGCCTTGTTAGAAGAATGGATACAATGCAGAAACATTTTAAGATCCGCAGATACTGATACAATGTAATGGGTAACATAGGACCTCGCATGAGAATGTCTGTCAAAAGAAGCAGAATGACTATGATTAGCAGGAATGAGGCATTTAAAAACTGCACATGGAAAACCAGATCAAGGTGGAATCAAGGCTGAGTAAGTATTGCATGAATGTGGATTAAGGTTTAAAAAGAGTGACTGGTTTGACACAAGAATGACCATGAAGGTGCCCACAGAGAGGATGCTGGGTGCCACCTGTGGCACACATGCCATAGGTTCTCCACAGTGGTGGGTTCCGGATCCCGTTCCAACTGATATGGTTGGAATGGGTCTGGCAGCGTCTACATGGACACATGCAGCGTGCGTGCATGCATCTTAGCGCCTCTGCTACGCTCCATCTGCTCAGTGGAGCATCGCGCAGGCGCTATAAGCGCCATGCGTGGAAGTCCCGAAGACTTAAAAGACCAGTAAGGAGCTCGGGCGGGCAGGTGGGAATGGTATCTGGTGCTCCGGGCAGGCTCCGGTACACCGGTACTGCAGCGTACCACCTGCAACCCACCACTGGTTCGCCATCATATGGTCATAGTGTAATTTCTTTAGCTTACAAATTCTTATTCCTTTTCTGCACTTCACAAAATACTGCCTCCCCCCAACAGCTTGACTCTGTGTGTGTGTGTGTGTGTGTGTGTGTTTGTGTGTGTGTTTTTGTGTGTGTG